ACCGGACCGGGACCGGCAACGGGATCGCAACCCTCGGTGTTGCGCCCACACCTCGCTCAGCCAGTGAGCAGCCGGTCTGTACGTGGGATCCGAACCCTCGGCCGGGCCGGCCCCATGCAGCTATTCTGTCATGTATTATATACATTCATTCAACAAGTATTTTCTGAGCACCTGCTCTGAGCCAGCACCTTTTAGTGGAAAGGGTTCTCCATCCTTGCTTACAGGCCATTGGGTGCAGGGGAGAAAGAGGCAGTTACATTACAGGGTGGAGTTACACCTTAAAAGATGGGAGCATGGGCTCAGGGAAGAAGTCATGGCAGGCTTCTTGGAGGAGGTGCTTCTCAAGCTGATTGTTGAAGGCCAACTTGGATGGTGACGTGTTTCCCCTAGGCTAGCATCTGGAGAACATGCACTAGAAGCGCAAACCCCCTGGTTCACTAAAACAGAAACAGGAAGTGTTGAGTCATTGTTGGGTGGCGATTGACCTCTGGCTACCTGTATGTCCCTCTCCAGCAGTAATCCTGGGAGGGAGGGATTTTCAAGGGCACAAGGAAACTGTTGGGGGTGCTATATATGTTTACTATCTTCATTGTGGGGTACACATGACAAAAAATGCCAAATTGTGCATTTAAAATAGGTGTAGTTTATTATATATCAAGGATACCTCAATTAAAAAGAGAAAATTTAAAAAGTCAAATAGTACTACAATGTAAAAAAGAGTGTCCTCTTCCACTCTTTCTTCCATTGAGTTCCATTTCAAATTGGATTCCATGCCAATCACTTTAAACTCTTTTAGATGTTCTGTATTTACACCTACATTTCTATAAAACATTCTTCATCTTCTTCTATTTCATTATTTCTCTGTTTTAGGCACTATCTACCTACTCCCTTCTGTGAAAGATTAAGATTACACACCACACACACACACATATGCATTCTCTCTCTTGACATGACTACACAACATTTTAGGTTAAATTACTATCCAATGTTTATATTATTGTGACTATGTAAATATTGTTAATAGCTGCATCACATAGTGTGCAGTGATTACATTACCTTTCTTGTACAACTTCTGTTTTTATTGGAGTTAAATTTTGCCATGTTTTTTCTTTTTTTCTTTGGTGGCTGGTCAGTATGGGGAACCAAACCCTTGACCTTGGTATTACAAGGCTGTGCTCTAGCCAACTGAGCTAACTGGCCCGTGCTTTGCCTTGTTTATTCATTTGCTTGTTGTTCTATATACTTAGCATTAATTTGTGCCCAAATGGACACACAAACTCTAAAGTTCCCCTCCATGAATGTAGACCCAGTGGTGTCTATCAGGTCCGTCTTGGTCTTGGTGGCATCCCTCCTGGAGAGCTGGGACAGATTGCCCTTTGGTCCCACCAAACAGTATTCATCTGGAGATCTCCCTCCCTTTTCTACCTCTAGATTCTCTTCTCTTTGGCCCTTGATTCCTGGGTTCCTGGTCTTCCTCTTTATGGGTTTATTCATCTAGTAGCTTCCTAAGAATGGATCTGTGGGAGGCAA